AGTTGGTTGTCATCCATCGTCTCTCAGCCAGATTGGCCAGAAACATCAGCAAACTGAATGACGCCAAGGACCACTAGTCACGAGCGGACAGCTTATTGAGGATTCAGCCCTTAAAGGACACAACGCTTTCAGAATCCCAAGACTTCATCCGTCCATGTCAAGTGGCATGTTAAAAACAGATCGGTTTACATCGATGTTTGTCCAACAGAACGGTCCGAAATCGCCTATAATCGGCCGGGTATAGTTCCAGACATCACATCAGATGTCCGTAAAGTTATTCCCAGAGCACAAGCTGCACGACTAGCTTGGTGTCACCTGAAATCACTGGAATTTGGAGGTCATAGGGAAGGGTCCACTGTTTGAGCCAAGACAGAAACACTGCATTATCGATTTCTTACGTCAAGTAACAGTCTGCCTTCGATTCCTCATGATGTCCTGATCTCAGTCCCATAGAGCTTGTTTAAGACATGGGCCCAGGAATACCCAGAGACCTCCTGCACAAAACCTTGCCAAAACCATTATCAGCACTACAAAATGTATAAATTTTAATGCTATTTTATCTGAAGGGGCGCAGGTAGCTCTAGGGGTTAAAGTGCTCGCCTGATGCACATCAGCCCCACATTGTTACCATGTATAAAGTCCAAATCAGGTTATGCCTCCAATATCTTTGTTCTTTGGCAACACAATGCAAACCATAGGTTAGCAGTTTAGGTTATGAACTTGGCGATATCACCAGCCATTAAGTTGCGTTGGTGAGTGAGTTTTATATATACTCATAGTCAAATATATAACAGCCATATAAAAGTGTTAACAGGATATTGTGCTGAGTGGATGACTGTCGACAAGACACTGAATCAATAATAAATACCATAGCTCCAGAAATATATTATCAAAGTTAGAACACAGATAGTCGTAAACGTTGACGTGCTGCTATCTCATATGTTTATAATGTTTATCCATGACAGAACATTCAGCAGATTTTGAAAATTTGATCAATACGTTTTCCTATATTTGCATGTCACGATACTTGCATTTATTTATGGTATGTGGACAACATATGTCTGTTTTTCTGCAACATTATGTAATATCCTTACCACTCCTTGATGAGACTTCTGTTTGCTCGAACGTCTCCATATTCCCAATCACCCAAGAGCATTTACATGGTTGATGCACAAATATTCAGCTTGAACTAGTCACAGGTTGGTACATATAAGTTGTATGCGTCTCGAGGGTAATACGGTCTGATGTACAGCTTCTTGTAGCAGTGTCACCCGACCCGGTAGGTCGTATTTATCTTACCGCCATGTTAAATTTCCACAATATCAGTTTACATTTTAAAGATCACTACCGACTATGACATGTAAAACAAATTGGCGTCTGCCCTTGACTGATTTTTAAATCAGTGAAACATATTCTGACAAGGTTACCACTGCTATAAAAAATAGTTAATTATGTTTAAGTTGAGTGTGCAAGTACAAAATAGTTTAAATAGTAAGTGAGTGAGTTTAGTTTTTATGCCGCACTTCCAGCAATATTCTAGCTGTATGGCGGCGGTCTGTAAACAATCGAGTCTGACCAGACAATCCAGTGATCAATACATGAGCATCGATCTGCACTGGGAACCGAGCCTGACCACCCGATCCTATTGTCGCCTCATGACATAGTCGCCTTTTTGTTGCAAGCATGTAAGTTGCTGAAGACCTCTTTCTATCCCGGATCTTCACGGGTTAGTTTAAATAAAGCAGTGAAAGTCGGTAAAATAGATGCATAGTGAATTCAAAAACAGCCAATCGAACGGCTTCGAACTCCGACACTGCATGCGTGATATTATGACGTCATACGATTGTTAGCGACACAGCTTCGGCGGAGAGTTTGTCGGTTACCGGCAGCTGGTAACATTTTTTCCAGTTGTCACTTCTGGGAGGAGTGACACGGAAACTTATTAAAGGTCATTGACCAATGAAATTAGTATTTATACGACGGTATTAAAGATTAATGTTTGATTTGGTCAAATACAATTTTCAGATCAATTATTTTCTTTAGCTCAGAACTACATGACTGGTGAACAGTCAAACACTGTTATGTCCAAGTACGTAAAAACCTCAAGTTATCTGATACGTTCGACACAACCGTGGAATGATAACCAAAAAGGAATACGCCAAGCACTGTTTTGTTATTATAGATTTATATAGCGCAATAATATCCAGGCAACTAGTGCACGCTCAAGGGCCGGAATTTTTCGAGCACCTTTAGAATATTAAAGCACCACAACTCGTGAGGACGATCTGTAGGGGTCACGTGTCATTAAGACAAGCAACCAGTTTGTGAACCTGTCACCTTTCGGGATTGTTAGCTCGACAGTTCCACTGAGCTACGTCCACACCGTTGCGCGATGCACCATCGAGTCATCTCGTGACGTCAGGAAATTAACGGAAAGAGTCAATAGGTGACGGACAATTACGAATGCTGCTGGGGACCCAGCACCGTGATTTTATTCTCTGACAATTGCCGAATGGATCTGATGCCATTTGGCACACTCGTCCCATCTCCGCACGCAAATTAACGTGGCGCGGAAATGGTTCGATATAGCTCAAACTGAAAAGGGTTGTTGACGTCAGGCGTCAGACGCAGATTTCACGGTGCTGAAGACGCGTTGCGGTATAAATTCGTGATTGCATATGAAAGCGATGTAGGGAACACCGTAAGATACGTGGATCGCACGAAGACGAGGTATATGGAGCATGTGTAGTGACGGCACTGCCGCGAGCAGCCAGTCCGCTACCACAGTACCATAAGCCGGTGCGGAAAGAGGCTGAGTGCAGTTCCAGACCAATTTCCATTAGCCCAAAATTTCTATATTAAACCATTTCATGTCGTACTTTCGACGTTTTGGTTTCCTGTTTTGTGAAAAAAAGTATAAATGCAGGAAAAACAACAAATGTGAAACAATTACACATACCGATATGTACTACAGGCTGGGATTAGGTCCCAACCCTAACCCAACCTCAGGTAAACTCAAAACCAGCTCCTAACCTTAACTCCAACTCTGAAGACCCCAATAAATAGAATGGTATTGGCCGAATCAATGGACATACCAATTATATTGCAGGTTAGGTCCCCAACCCCAACCTTTAAAACCCTAACTCCAACTTAACCTAGTCTCTAGTCCTAGTGCGGTCCAGCTCCCAGCCAGCCTCTAAACCAACCCCAATCCCTTTGAATTATCCGCAATATCAGGAATGCATTGACCGAACTGACAATAAAACAATTAATCGACGTGTTCACGTTCAGTGTACGCATTATTACCGCCTTTCTGAAAATGAAATACTAATAAAACACTTTTTCATGTAATGGTGCAAATTACTGGATGACAAAATATATATATGTAAATTAAAAAATTAAAAAAATGCTAAATACACAAAACATAACACTCAGTGTTCGCTGATGCAATAAATATGAGCGCATTAGCTAAAAAGAAAAATATTTCAAACTGGTGCTTGCAAAATATTGCGCATCCGCCGGTATACAACTACTGGAAACTCTCTCAACATCGTTGGGGCTTATAACATTACATAGCTCACGTAGAGATGAAACACCAGTGAAAGCGAGTTTACGCACACGCACTCAGCCAGGTTTCGTACCGCCAGGCGTCATAGAGCATTGTTTCGAGAACGTGCTTTGGAACAAAATCACATAACATTACGTAAAAGGGTATTTATGACCGTATTTTTAAATGCCTGTGGAAAGGCTTCCTAAAGGTAGGATATTTTTTCCTCGATCAATATGGATGTCAGCCCCAACGGCACATCGTATCAACAATCTCAACCTCCTGGAGAGTATTCGAACTCGTGCAGCCACTAGGCGCAACTGACTTATTGTGGCTTCCATCCTAACGAGGCATCAATTCACAACTGGCAGGGGACTGGGACACATAGTCACAGATGCTTTGTCCAGTTTACTGCACGTTGCTGTACCCGCAACTAGGTGTTTGCACATATCCATGTACACCATCTGGTCATATATCAACGGATTCTGTGGGTTCTTCTGGGAGCACGAGGCTGTGCATTGCACACTAGGGTTGTGACAACAATTATAAAGAGTCTGCAGCACAAAGTTGACTCCAAGGCTTTACACCTGGTCACAGGTGGGCTCGATCCTGACACCTCAACCTCGCTGGATCACCAGCCCGGCGCCCCTTAGCCAGCTCGCCAACTGCGCCACCAAGCTCGCCAACTCATTGCCACCAGCTCGCTCCACCACGCCCCATCCTTCCGAACGCGCCCCCATTTCGCCCACCACGCCCCCATTTTCCGCCCACCCCGCGCCACCATCTCGCCCATAACCACGCCCCAGCTCGCCCACCGCCACCCATCTGGCCCACCGCGCCCCATCTCGCCCCATCTCGCCAACGGCGCCCCCAGCTCGGCCACCGCGCCCCAATCTCGCCCTGCGTGCCATCTCGCCCACCACGCCACCATGCGCCCACCACCGCCCCCATCTCGCCCACCGCGCCCCCATCTCGCCGCGCCCCAGTCTCGCCAACCGCGCCGCCAAGCTCGCTTACCGCGCCACCAGCGCCCACCGCGCCACCGTGACGCCCACCGCGCCACCAGTTCGCCCACCGCGCCACCGACTTCGCCCACCGCGCTAGCTCAGCCAACCGCGCCACCAGCTCGCCCACCGCACCACCAGCTCGCCCACCGCGCCACCACAGCTCGCCCACCGCGCCACCAGCACGCCCACTGGGCCACCAGCTCGCTCCACCGCGCCACCAACTCGCCCACCGCGCCATCAGCACGCCCACCGGGCCAACAGCTGCCCACCGCGCCACCAAGGCTGAACTTATATTGAAACAATCATACATGCGACACACTGAGTTCTACAAAAGGTGTGCAGTTCACATATATGATGTATATTTTATTATGATCACTTATGATATCATTGTCCTATACCTATATTTCTTTCTCATATCAGGTTTGGGAGGAACGAACCAGGCAGGCCATAACAACAGTGAGTTGTATAATATACTCAGAATAAGTCAAATACTTGCTTCACTAAATATACTCACAAGTAAACACCTACTGTTGGGAGCTCCTGACCCCATGTAAGCGTAAACGTAATGCATTTCTAACTTCCTTCATAACTGGTGAAGAAATCTGAAAAATATATAATCAGTTAGAAAAGGTGATTCTTTAACTGGACTTTCAAAGGCGCCAAGCCATGCTTATTCCACTGTAACAGTTTCTTATGTGACCAATAAACATAAGTTATCTCTGTCAAAACAAGAAACCTAAAATTTCTGGAAACTTTTATATAGACTTAAACTACATCTCAGAAGGAATCTATTTAATCCCGATCCTGAAGAGCTAACAAACCACTTCACTTATATTTGCAACATTAAAAGAAACATATCTTCTCCGAACACTCTGCAGAATTCTTTCTAGGCATGAACCTACTGTCAAGGAGAAGATAATGTACATACAGAAGTTTTGAAATAGGTTGCACATAGATAGACTAGTTGCTAGATAGACTAGTTGCTTAAACGGTTAAATAATAAGGCGTTAAACAAGGTTGCCTTCAATGGTCTCTAGAATTATACTGAACCACAAAATAAACGTCGCCTTTCAAAACCAAATGCAAAATTTTGTTCTTACAAGGTGGTGTTTTATTATGATTGCACCGTTTTGTTAAATAGTTTTCAATCCAAATTGATAGCTATTACCAACATCAGTGTGTTTTCTGATGAAATAGCATATCGACCAAACGCACCGAAAGGCAGACACGGTAAAAGGTTCGATGTGACATTCGTGAAAATGAAAGTGCACGTGCATGTCGAGACAACCCTATTCAATGAAAGCGAGTCCCAAACTCGCCTGAAATCATTCCTGTTTTGACACAATCACCATGCCACGACTTACGAGAGATCAGAGGAACCAAGTCTTTGGACCGTTGCAAGTTGGCCAGACTGCACGGATGGTAGCCAATCATTTCAATGTTCATGTTAGGACAATCTACCGACTCAAGGAGCGGTATCAGGTCACTAACAGCACTCCAAGACAATCCACCTCAGTGGACAATCTTCAGTAACATCACAACGTCAAGACCGACGTATTGTGCGCGTAACCATCTGCATGATCGCTTCCTCGAGGCGACGGAAACAGCACGCCAGACCATTGGACCTATCAAAGTGCCGATACAGTGAGTCGACGTTTGCGTGGAAGAAACCTCTGCTGTCACAGATTTATATCGTAGTCCTGTCCCCACCGCTCATCAATGCCGCCAAACCGACTGCATCGAAATTGGCGTTATCGACAATGGAAAATGTGCTTTTATCTCATGAAAGCCGATATTGCAGTTCCTACAGTCGAAGGCAAGAGGAGAGTATGGCGAAGGCGTCTGGAACTGTTTTCCAATGAGCGTATTGTTGAAAGAGACTCGTGGGGTTGTCCAAGCACCATGGTGGGTGTACAGATCTGAACCAGTTAGATGACACCATGGTGTTCCAGAATCCTATTCCAGGATGAGGAAATGATGTGGCAGCTGCTTGCTATATTTACCAAGTCATAAGACCCCACGTTGTATCACATTTTGGACGTTACAGAAATCACATCTTCCAATAAGACAACGCTCGTGCCCACACTGCCAGAGCAACATTGGACTTCCTAAGACAACATGGCATCCAAACCCTACAATAGCCTGCACTCAGTCTGGATTTAAATCCAATCCAATAGATTCAAAGAAGACTGAATGACCTCCAACCAAGGCCGACAACTGCGACTGGACACGATCAGGCATTTTGCAGATTATGGTCCCAAGTGCCTGAGGTATTCATCAAGTGGCTAATTTATTCCATGTACAGACGATGCAACGCTTTCATACATACCCATGGAGGCCACACACAATACTGACTTAGGGCTATCTCTAATGGTACCATGTTTGGCGATTTTGTTTGTGTGAACTCTAAATGTGATTTCCGGAAATGTCTTAACCATAGTTGTCAAGTTTGAACTCAATCCTCCGTTTTGATTTTTTTAATTAGAGGGAATTATAGTGTGTGCGTTAAGAAACCGCCATCGGTGCGATATTTCCTTTGTGGTTCAGTATATTTCATACCTCACGGTTATGATAGAACATGTTCTGAAAACATATACTGAGTCAAAAAAGAAACTTCACATTCTTTCTTCAGGGCACCATAAAAGAACAAGAGATGGTAAGATGGTTAAATTGTTATTATTTCATTGCTGAGATCTGTGTGATGTACTCGATACACTGACCGTGACATATTCAGTTCCATTAGGCTACACCGCCGTTCCAAAGCATGGGAATACAGAATGTCAAGTCACAAGAATAAAAATGCGAAATTTCTCAGTTCAATATCGTGTATGGCCGCCCCGCGCATTCACCACTGCCAAACACCGTCTCCTCATCGACTGCCTGATGGTTGTGAACACGTGGTTGGGGATTCTGCGCCATTGCTCTTGCAAGGCAGCGCCACGTTCCTGCAAATTCTGAGGTTGGTTCCTAAGACCACGAAGCCTTCTCCCAAGTGCATCCAAAACGTGCTCTATTGGATTAAAGTCAGGGGACCTGGATGGCCAGTCCATGACGTTGATTCCAGCATTTTGAAGGAAATTTCGTGTCAACATCGCGGTATATGGACCTGGGCCATGAGCCGCCATGAAATGAACGAGTTCAGGGGTGAGCACCTGGTCGCGGTAAGCAGCAGCTGTGAGGTTTCCACGGATGACCAGAAGTCGGGAACGTTTGTTCCCACACAAAGCACCCCACACCATGCAACTTCCGCCCCCGAATCTGTCGACTTCCTGTACACAACATTTGGCATACCGTTAACGACGTCGTCTCCAGACTCTTTGTCTGCCGTCCGCGAATCTGAGGGTTAACCTGGATTCATCGCTAAAGACGACTCGATTCCAGTCTCTCTGGGTCCATCGGAGGTGACGTTGGGCCCACAGCAGACGTTGACGTTTATGAAACAGCGTCAATATTGGCCCACGATATGGACGTCGAGAATGGAGATTGGCAGCCCGCAGCCGATTTCGAATGGTCTGTGAGGACAGTCGACCTCTAAACATCTCAGCCCTGGTTCGTGCAGCCGGCAGAAATCTGTCACGTAGGTGACGTAGGACGATTTGACGGTCTTCTGCTCGTGACGTCACACGTGGACGACCCGACCTTGGGCGATCAGAAGTGGTGCCAGTTTGTTGTAGACGACCTCGCAAGTCATACACAGTACGACGGCTGCATCCCATTGCTCTTGCGACGTCAATAACTGATCTTCCCGCTTGCAACATCCCAACGGCTCGTTCACGTTGCACTTTTGACAATCGTGGCATTTCAAGTACCGTTAGAACTGTGGTTTAAAAGTGTTTTTTTCAATTCTTGAGGCCAATGCAAATACGTGCATATGAAGAAAACTTCGATGCGAAGATCACGTGATCTACTGCACGTGCTAAAACCTGATTTGGCACTAACGTCATTTGCACGACGAATGGATTGGTTTGAGTGGGTTTTGATAACGTTTTTCTAGAGTCGAAAGATAGGGATCCCATTTCGGATACATAGATGTATCATTAGAGAAAAATTATTCATTATTTTTCAAATAACATTTTGTGAAGTTTCTTTTTTGACTCAGTATATTTGTCATGACTATGATCCCCTTACCCCAAAATCTAAACGCGTTACCTGATGTTCTAGTCTATATATATATTATATTTTATGCATAACCGGGGCGATGGGGTAGCCTAGTGGTTAAAGCGTTCGCTCATCTCGCCGAAGACCTGGGTTCGATTCCCTACATGGGTACAATGCGTGAAGCCCATTTCTTGTGATATTGCTGGAATATTGGTAAAAGCGGCAGGCGGGCGAGTGTCTTGCTGTTTTGTGAGATGATCCAGTCATGTACTTGTCCCATTCAATACATAAATACAGATCCAGAAATTCTTTACTGGAATAATCTACTTCCAGAAGCATCCATATAACTCTTTACTCCTGCCTAAATGTAAAACACATCTGCGGGCATCTGCTGAACTTAACAGGAACTATTTAGTACAGTCACATATATCATTCCCAATGGAGTACTCTGCCATATAACAGTATTGATAGAAACCATTCAGGTAATGATATCATCAGCATTCCCCCTAATCAACCTATGACCTTTTCAATAAATTTATTAAGATTTGTATTTTTTTATATTGCTGTCAAACGATAGATCTCAGCGGTTGCCAATGGTGTTGTGTTCTTGTGTTCTAACATATAGCTAGAAAATAGAGTATCAAAACCCATTTCATAATCAAAACAGTCCGTTGTCAAGGGGATTTCGAAAACGTCAAAGCATGTTTTGTTCAATGAATCATTACCTAACAACGATGATACCAGATTTATTTAAGTGAGCCTATCCTGCCCCCACAAGTGGTACCCATCACGGACACATGCAGGAATCCTAGAGTCTAACATAAAACTAACTGTTGCCATTCATTCTTTTTAAAAAAAACCCCATGATTTGTGTAGTAATGTCCCAGTCCATTTGTATTTCCAGCCCGAGTACAGACCAAACTGTGTTCTGACTGAAGGGGAACCGCTCAGCATTGTGCTTGTTGGTAAAACGGGTAATGGAAAAAGTGCCACAGGAAATACAATTTTCGGGAAACATCAACTTTTCAAGTCTTCACCTGGCACAAAATCTCAGACAAAGACGTGCCAACTAGAACATGGACTTGTAGCAGGACGAGAAATATATCTGGTTGATACACCCGGTAATATGGATACAAGGCATCCGAAAGAATGCTTGCAGGCGATTGGTTCTGCTATTTATATGTGTCCAGATGGGTATGATGCTGTACTACTCATTCTAAGATTTGGCAATCGTATGACAGAGGAAGAAAGAAATGCTGTTCGTGAAATACGAAAGCTCTTTGGGCAAGACATATTCTCCAAATATGTTGTGATAGTGTTCACATATGGCGATAATTATGACAGTGAAGAACCATTTGGAGACTTTATATTTGAAGATGCTGACGGTTTCTTACAGAATCTGATCACTGAATGCAAACACCGGGTTGTACTGTTCAACAATAGATTCAAATACGCTGAGGCTGAATTGGAATCGTTCCATCAGGTGTCAAAACTTATGGAAATCATTGACCAGCTCTGGAGATGCAACAATGGCATAAAGTACAATAATGACTTTTTTAAAGATGCCAAGGCGTTGCATTTGGGAATAGAGGAAACTGACAAGTCTTTGTGGGAGCAGTTGTATAAAGAACAGGCAGAGCTTGATGAACAATTACAGACTGACCAAAAAGCCAAGCTTAAGAAAGGAGAGACTGAGAACTTTAATAAAATGAAAGAGATCAAAGAGCAACAGTTTTTAAAAGTTGAACACTTTGGGTGGAAGTTGAATGATATCATAAAGAAAGAACAAGATGAATCTGAAACAAAGTTGAGGGGTGTACTGTCGATGCACATTGAACAATGGCAAAAGGCTTGGGTACAGGAAGTTGAAGATATTTGTGAAAACAATGAACGAAAGTTTTCTGCATTACTGGAGAAAGACCAAGAACTGAAGTTAGAACTGGACACAGACAATGACATGAGAACTTCAGAAGAAGAACTAACAGCATTATTTGCTTCAAGCGCTCACAGTGATGGAAACTTGAAAGAATGTTGGAACGAATTCCGGGAGAAAGTAAATGAAAAGAAGAAATCCAGCATGATGATGTGGGAAAGTAAGGTACACGAGGTGTTTGGCAAAAAGGTTAAAGGACTAAGGGGGTTTACAAAGAATACAGTTTCAGAATTAGAGAATGAGTGGTTACAGGATATGGAACAGAGAAGTGCTGAACACCTTTTAGACACTGATAAGCTCATTTCTGAAAAGAAGGAAGGTGTCTTGGAGAGAGTGAAGGCCATGTTTGAGGCCAAAACACACCTGGATAACTGGAGGGACGAAATGGATACTGTCCAGGATGGCGAGGAGCTACAATGCAGAAACAGCATTACTGATATTCTCTCTGAAAGAAAAGGACGAATTGAAGAAATGATCAATGAGATACGTAAACGGAATGAAGAAGAATGGCAGAAAAAGCTTGATGCTATATGGAGTGACAAGTACAAAGAAATGCAAAAGTCATTGGTTCAAGAGAAATATTACCGAGAAGAAAAGTGGAAGCTCGACACACAAAAAGAAATTGGATCATATTTGACTGAGATACAGGCTAGGTTCAAGAGAGAAGTGAAGACTAGACAGATTGATGACATAATGACCCCGGTCCAACAGAAAATGACATGTGATCGGGAGCTTCTACTTCAAAGGCTATCAGACACATTGACAAGCGGAAGCAAAACGTATGAAGAAAAATGGCATGAAACCACTGGAAGCCAGACTCTTCTTTCAATGAATCTGAAGAGTGAGGATCGATTGCAGCAGTCTATGATGCAGAACACACTGGAACAAAGACACATATCCATGAACAGATGGAGAAATACAGCAAGGACCACTACTGAGTGTCAGACAAGAAAATTTAAACAATGTTTGAATAACATATACTGTGACTCCAACAGAAAGTGGACACAAGTGTTGAAAGAAACATTATTGACCCAAAGTCAGTCATGGAAACAAAAACTGCGCCAGGTAAATCAAGAATATGATGAAGTTATGAAGAGACAGATTGATGAAACGCTCAAAAAGAAACTTTTAAAGCGGAATGAATTGCTACATGACTTCACTGAATATGAAGAACAATGGAAATCTAACCTTGAACATATCAGGTATGAATTTGAAACCAAATGGAAAGAAATGATTAAACCACTTTCCAGAAATGTTGATTTCAGGATCAGCGAAGAGGATATAATCAGGGTTAAACAGGCATTCGAGGAAAAGATGTACTTCAATCGAAATGACCAAGAACAGGAATGGCTTACAGAAGAACAAAATCTTGTTGAAAACATGACAGAAAACCTTAGGAAGAGGCTGTCAGACAGGCGAGGCGCTCAGGAGGAGCAAGACAAGGAATGCATGGAGGCTGAAATACGCAAACACACAGCAACCTTAAAAAAGGAGATGGATATATATGTTGAAGAAGTATACAAATACTGGCGAGATGTATTTGATGGTGGCATGGAGAAGAAACTAAGGGACATAAGGCATTTAGTTGGAGAGTACCAGGCAGCAAACATGAAAACTTGGAAAGAAAATGCTGAGCGAAACGTCTCTTGCATCATTTCAAACTGGACTCAGGAAATGATGGACATACTGAAAACAAGGGAAAGTGAGTGGAATCAGGCCATCGAACGGCTGTGGTTAGAGAAGGTATGGCAACTGAAGATTGAGCTAAGGACCTTGCAATCCCACTCTAGAAGAGAGATAGAAAGTATCACCTACAGAAAGGTGAAGATATCTTCTGAGGAACTGAACCAAACTCTTAAAAGGAAACGCCAAAACATGGAGGCGACCTGGAGTGATCATAATATGATGGACCTCAATACCATGATGGAGAGGGCTCTAGACAAAGCCAAGCTGGCTTCAGATCAGATGATGCAAGAGACAATTTATGAAATCACATCCAAAAGAAAACTTGAAGAGCAGAGATGTGAACTAATGATAAAACACGAGCGGCTGACCAGTCAAAGGAAGCAACTTGACGAGAAATGTCTACAACATTTTGGCAAAAGGTTTGCAGAGATAAATGCTTGTTTCCCAGTCGAGTCCTTGGTTCAGTTATCCACAGGACAAATAGTCTATCTGTCAGAGATCAACATAGGTGACAGACTCCTTTGCTGTGATGAAAAGGGCATGCTTGTGTACAGCCCAGTGTATCGTTTTGGTCACAGACAGCACTATGGAAACAATACATTCGTGGAAATATCAACTAAATCAAAGAAGCTGAAAGTTTCTCCAAATCACCATGTGCATATTGGAAAGTCTGTCTGCAGGAAAAACAGTAAAGCTGCAATAGCTATAGAAGTTGGTGATGCTGCTCTTGTGTTAGGGGAGGAAAGAAGACTGGTATCCGAGGAAGTCCTTTCTGTCACCTTGACAACTGGAAGAGGTCTGTGCGCCCCCTATACATTGTGTGGAACCATAGTGGTTGATGGAATGCTTGCCTCCTGCTATGTGGACCGTGTTGCTCCTTCTCTGGCGCACAAGCTTCTGGCACCCGTTAGAACTTGGTACAGACTGTTTGCTCCAGGTGACTCTATTGCAAGGAAGATGAGTCCTGAACATGTTTGCTTCCCGAGAGGCCCCTACTCCAGAGAGAGAACTGTCAGGAAAAACAAAGGGGACAGAGTCATAAAAGGTGATAGTTGAGGTAGTTGAGTTTCTTCCTTTCATTATCTCTCTATAATTTAAATGAAAGGAATGATGAAAAATTATTTCTTTAAGCACCGTTAAGTATTCGATTTCAGGCAAATCTTGTGACAGCAAGCGCTTACCCTTTTCGCGAACGTCATGAGTCAAACACTGATTTCCAGAGATCCATTTATATAATTTTAACAGCTATGTTTCCTTTACACCAAACAGAATTTATTTCTGAGAATAGTCGTCCTATATTTACTTGGGCTGAAAACAGAAAATTATACCTTTTAGTATAACTGTTAACATGTGAATACATGCCCTGTAATGTATCTGCCATAACATTTCTTTATACTTCATAACCACTCCATAAATATTTATTTAAATTGTCTGACTTTATATATTTTCTTTATTGTTTGTATTTCAGATATCTGATGATAACACACCTTCTTGAAATTAAACAAGAACGTTCTGGAAGATCCTGAAGGCTAATTTCATTGGTGTATTTACCACATATTAGCTACCTGCATGTGAAATAGGAGTGAGTGAGTGAGTTAAGAATTAACGTCACATCGGCAATATTTCAGCCATATCGTGACGAGAACATATTTGACATTGAAATGGAACATGTGTATATTATATAAACCTGTCGTCAAAGGACAGTAAAACAACACGAATATCACAATTAGAATTAAAACTAGCGTGGAAAGTTAAAACTAATAGCACTATTTGGACAATACAATATAAAAAGAGGCTATAGATCGCCAACAACTGAAGGTAGATCACCATACTAGGAACCATGGGGACTTACAGTACCTTTGCTACCTGCATGGACCCTAGTTGGATTTACACCCTTCAGCTGCTGGCGATTGTAAGAAATGTTAGCCAAAAATAAAATAACAAGAATACTACTTTTAAAAATCCTGGTAAGTTTAAATTGACTTTGAAAATTGGGGGACTTACGTACTTGTGAAATAGGAATCTGTTTGTATTCAAAATGGCTTTGTCAATTATTCTGTAGTCAATATGCATATGGCAAATGACAAAGAACGTTGCTAAGGCGTCATTTGTATTTCATTTCATGTGACTTGTGTGTTGGCAGTCGAACGGTCTTCCGTTCGCATTTTGCGTACATGAAATGTCCATATTCCCTCTTGGACGTTTACTCAGTACCCACCAGATCACAAGCCAACAATGCTTAAAGCGCCTTCATTTTATTGTATTTCATGAAGATATACCATTTTGTACTGAACTAGTTTGGTAGTTTTTACTGTCGGGTATTCATCACTTGAGTATTATGTAAAGTGACTTGCTTGTGGATGAAGTCTTCCAGTAGTTATTTCGAATGCAGATGGATGTCATACAGTACATCCAGTTAGCTTCGTCAGCGCCATCTGTTACGTGACTTTAAAGCTTCTTCTGTTTGTATTTTAATTGAATGTCCCAGTACAGATATATATTCCGCACAGTGGAACTTCTGTAGGATGTAATATGACTGGTGTTTACAGTCGTTTTCGTTATGAGATTTAGAACAACGTCTGTCTGTGTGTGAATACACATTCTTTCTGTTTTGCTAGATGCATACATGTACATTTAGACCTGAGTAGTGGGAATAAACTATAACCAGTGTTCTTTTGTTGTAGCAGTAATTTGAAGGGGCAGAGTTGCTCCCTATAAATACCAGATTCACCTTCATGATGATAATCCGCGACTGTAACGCCTTGCCCGTGCCCTAGATGGTTCTAAGATGGTCAACTTAAAGACATACATCACGCTCAGCAATTGCTCAGATGTAACTGAAATACTGTGGCGTAATTACCAACTCACTCACTCATACCATATTAGACCCCTCTAACTTACACTGCAAAAAGGATGCTCAGCAAAGTTCATTGGAAGGACTGTTTTATTACTGAATATGTTTTTTATGAGAAACTAGGTTCTTGAATAACAGGTGGTGGATGAAGAATTTCTTGAATGTTCAACCACGCATACACGAATGGTAGATTACCGGACGTATCGCAGAGGCTAACATGGTTTGTTAGTATGATGTTAATATGACAATACTTTTCTGGGTTTCGTTAATTTTTAATGTGGTTTGGTAATCGGGATGAAGTAATTACTGTGGATTAGTTAATTGTTTGTTGTATTTTTTTTATTAGATGTGGTGTATTGGTGAATTCTTGTGACTACTCAGATGTATTTACGGTATGGCTAGTCAGCAACATGTTTAGGGTGATGTTTAGGGACAACAAACCCATGCTGTACAGGAGGAGGAAGTTGTTCGGTGCAAGTGTATGAATGTGACAAAGCATGCTGATGTGAGGCTGAACATTGTACTCTGTGTGATGTGAATAGGCAATGGTGGGATACCTCGGGTCGATCTCTGTAGACAATCATGCGGACTACAGTATATCAGCTGTGGCTGTAATTTGGATTCGGCCAGTTCGCTTTCAGGTTTAGCGAGTTCCATTCCGTAATTCTGTACACCGGGATTTATGGCAGATAATGTTCTGTGGTGCTCTTGGTATACGTCTTCTTGCTACATGTGAATGATAAATGACATACAGTTGGTAAAGGTATAATTGAATCCCATATCCGGAAATATAACGGGATTGATAAGATGGATGCCTTCTGCTAGTGAATTGCTATTAGTATTTTTGTATTTGGGATTACACTTTCTTAGTGAAGTACAGATTCTTGTACTTTTGTTGGGTTGAGTCCCATCCGGGATTCGAACTCACACCCTGAGAGTCAGACAACTTATCGCCAGCACACAAAGTCAGCCGCCTAACCCGCTCAGCCACCGCGACTTCCACTGAGCAGCCCCACCGACCAATACCTTCACTTTACTCCAACCACCTCTACAGGTTAAGAAAAGCACATTTCAGTTTACGACTCTGCTTTCAGTTCAAAATGTATTCAGGGCTTAAATAACTTCCTGATTACCCCAAAACGTCAAGAGACAAACAGTGCAAGATAAATTCAAATGTTTTGCATCTCAATTTTCAAGGTAACATAGTTAAACACGTATGTCATATAAATTCTTAAAACTTGACGAGATACACAAACACATTTATTTCAGGTGTGAATCAGGTAAACCTTACCTGAAGATACATGTTATATGAATGATTGTCACTGACTGTCGAATGCAATGAGCGTCAACACATGGCTGGAACAGGCGACTGCACTAAATCCAGCTATACACTGTATACGAATAAAGCTGATTACGTTTAATATTGTTCATATACTATTACCATGGCTTCAAATACTTTCGATACTTTTCGAATTTCATGATCAAAATACATTTATATGAAAAACTATATTGAAGGTGATGATTCACAGTGAAAGACATATATAGAACATGTACCAATATTCTGATAGCAGACTTGACAAAGGAGGGCCAAGATCACTGTCATATATTGGAACAGGAGCAACTCACAACAAGAACCCGTGAGGCAGTGCTGAAATATAAACATTACCAAGTGCATCTACAGCATCCCAAAGCACATGATTAAAACACTACATACACAATACTGGTTAAATGACCTATATATTGCTACTCCCACCGTTTATTGTAGAGGAAACATACACGTTTTTATGCGACGGTGACAGATGCTCCAGGCAGGGCGGGGTGGGAGCTGGGAGGTGGGGGGTGGCGGGACATGTTTTGCGCGAATACATGGTGTCATCACGACGTTCAGTAATTCATTCACTTAATTTCGCCTTTAGCGCGAATGTTTAATCTGTTTCCTCGGATAATCGTGACTGGTTACTCTCTGATGTTTACTCTCTGTTATGGGCATCATCGTCACTTCCGGTCGGACGACATGAAGTTTCTGTGATACATAAGTATATAAACACATGTACTTTTATGTCACGTGGTCTTAAAGCACTGTTTAACAACAACGTCACTGCGTTTCCGACACCCACACCAACGACACTACATTTGCCGTCGACTACACCTCAAAGTCGTCCTCCTCCTGGTCCTCGTCTTCTTCTTTAGGCAGCACGGACTTAGAGAAGTGGTATGCTACAACTGCACAGTAGCCGATACTGATCTGATTCACACCACCACGCATGCGGTCTCTGAAAAAGGAATGAGAAGCTGTGAGTTTGTTTATATGCTGTATGAGCAGTGCTGTATTCCAGTGATATCAGCGTTTCAGGCTGATATGGGCGTTGTCCGTTATGGTGCAAGTCTTGTAACTTTTTATCATTTAGGTTAAGCTGGCGACGATGTGCTTGATGCTAAAATGTCTGTAAAACACAATTAGGGCTAATACTGGATTCCAACCCACGATCTAGGTTTCAGGCACACCTTAGGGATGCAAATCTGAAGAGCAAATCGACTGGAGAAGTAGCCTGTACATAACATCGTTTGTGATGACTTTTTAAACAAGGACCGTTGCATATTTCACGAACACGCCTTATGTCGTGTATTTACATACTAGTATGCAAAGATCACAAGAAAATATTTGTTCTGCAGTTTTTGTCCATTGATGAGAATATCCACCAACTGTAATGAATAAATATAGTAAATTACGAGTGAGTGAGTTTAGTTTTACGCCGCACTCAGCAATATTCCAGCTATTTGGCGGCGGTCTGTAAATAATCGAGTCTGGACAAGACAATCCAGTGAGCAACAGCATGAGCATCGATCTGCGCAATTGGGAACCGATGACATGTGTCAACCAAGTCAGCAAGCCTGACCACCCGATCCCTTTAGTCGCCTCTTACGACAAGCATGGATTACTGAAAATCAATATTCTAACCCGGACCTTCACGGGTAGTAAATTACGAAATACGACGGAAACAATGTACTCCTTCAAATGTATCACTCTAAATGTCAAAGACTACATTGTTTACTTACAGGAACCAGTCCATAGCAAAGAGCAGACCAGTCTGTTCTATAGGTATACCGAGGGCCGACAGAATGATGATGATACACACGATGCTGGAACTGGGGAGGGCAGGAATGGCCAAAGATAGGGCCGCTGTCAAAATCCTGCAATACAAGCAAGAGCTTGTCGTATAGTCTGTAATGGGGGGCTGGTGGATGGTACCCCTCTAATTCAGAGTGAGTGAGTGAGTTTGGTTTTACGCCGCTTTTAGCCATATTCCAGCAATATCACGACTGGGGACACCAAAAATGAGCTTCACACAATGTACCCATGTGGGGATTCGAACCCGGGTCTTCGGCGTGACGAGCGAACGCTTTAACCACTAGGCTACCCCACCACCCCCTTTAATTCAGAATGTAATATTACGAAAACACACTAACATATGAATTCTCATGACGTCTCGGTATGTATGCATGTGTCTGCATGTTGGTAACTGTATGCATATATGTGCGTGTGGATGAATGCATTCACGTATCTGCACGTGGATGAACGTATGGATGCATGCATCTGCGTGTTGGTCGTCATACTTTATCATCATGTATCACTGTAATATATGCACAGAGAGAACCCTGAATGACCTCTGCGTGTCCTTGACAAACACAACACTTCCTACCATATCGTTATGATCTTGCTGCCATCTACTTCAATGCCCTCTATCTGACAAATGAAGATGCACGCCGCCGCCATGAACATCGTACTGCCGTCCCTATTGGTGGCGGTGGCGAGGGGGACGACAAACTGCGCCACCCTCTTGTCGATGCGGAGCCTCGCAAGGGCGAGAAGACCTTCAGGCATAGCTACCGCTCTGGAACAGGAATAGAGGAACCACGCTGATCAAGAAACTTAGTTGGAATTACGGTATTTACAAGTTTCACTTGTTCACAATAGTATTACACAAATGAACCTTAGGAAGTTGCTATCTACAAATACAAATATATCTGGCACGGTATCTAATTATTTCAGTGGCATCATGAAGACGAACACTTCTATGGATAGACATCTTCTTTATTGCACTAGATGCGACATTTCGGTGTAAATTCTAACACCCTTACTTGTTTGATAAAGGTATTTGCATCTATTGCATTAAAGAAGTTGCCTATCTACAAAAACTGTTCTTCTCTATATATAACGAAGTTTTTAGATCCATAGAGTAATATTTTCTTAACTCGGAAATATATGAGGAAAAAGTTGACAATTTTCAATAAAACATCTCCGCCTTTAGGTGTACAAGTAACGGTATACAGTGGACTCACGATGAAGCCGCGGCGAACGTCACCATCCAGGCTCTGCTGTACTCCATCTGTATCTTGTAGGGGTTCCGTCTAGTGAGGGCCAGTATCCCCAGTGGCAGGATAATAAACTGGTACAGAAGCAGACCGACGACCACCGTGGATGCGAACAGTCCAAGGGATCGGAACGTGTCCAGGATGTTATCGGCCCGCGCTATGGCAACTGCTATCAAACTTAGGACTCCAATAGGTGTGTACCTGTTGAACATGCAGGTAGATCTTGGTAAACTGTTCACTGGATAACGGCTGGTAGCTCGGAAAGGGATGATTATTTGAAGTGGGCCCTTTATTTGATTTGTTTCATCAGAAAACAGCATTTGTTTTTATACATGTTCTGATTTATCATTGAAGTAATATTATGTTCTTAAACGATTGGCTTTAAATGTATATGAGGATTCAAATTATGTTGAACAAATAATCCTGTCTGTTAAAGTATAAATTGAGTAGTTTTGGTTAAGTGCCAAACAGTAATGCTCTTATCGAGTTTACTGGAACAGGAATCATAATCAGGGCCATTCTCTGACTACATGGTTGTCGGTGTTCTGGTACGCTCCTGGCATCTAAAGTGACCATACCTTCCAACACCAACTTGTCCCCAATTTCCATGAAGCATATAGTCTGTTTGCAGTGAAAACGTACCGACGAATTTCACTTTAAGCGAAAAAGTAAATCAAATAAAGTGAACTTCTACATTGCGAAACGTCGTAATTTTACCTTGCCAATTGAAAGTTTAATGTCAGAATTGTATTCAGCTTAGGATGAAAGTTGTTTAACAAACGATCATAGTTTCAAATCGCTATTATTGGTTTGTATTAAAAGGGGGTAGGCGCAGTAGTTGGAACAGTGAAACAAATGCACGTGCGGTACGTGATGAGCGTTAACTTAGACCAGCCCTGCTTTTTCTTGGTGTTTCATTTAATCTGTAAACCCCCTTGAAATACAAACCAATAATAGCGATTTGAAACTATGATCGTTTGTTAAAATTATGAGATCTAAATGTGAAATTGGCAAGGTAATATTATGAGCATTCGGACTCTTAATTTCACTTTATTCGATTTACTTTTTTGTTAAAAGTGAAATTCATCGGTACGTTTTCACTGCAAAAAGACTATAGTCGAAAGTACTATTCACATGTTAAGCCATATATTAACGATTCAGACAGGATGTGTTCATGTGATAATCATGAATGCATGCATTCTATAACCATGAAAGTAAGTACAGTATTCAGATTGTATTTGATAATGATATACTTGTCCATTTACACTAGATGTTTAAAAAAATCTCATACCTCTCAACTGACGTTAATGTCTGACGTTTACAACCGACGTTCATAACTGCATTGGTTTCACAACTGACATTTACAGCCGACGTTTACAACATACATTCACAGTCGTCATTTGCAACAAAGGCGTCACACGCACGCACGCACGCAGGCACGCACGCACGCACGCTCACTCGCTCGCTCGCTCACGCTCACCATATAAGCCAGTTCAAAATCTTAAAGATGACAATGGTAGCTGCCTCAAAGAAGACGAAGAATGGTTTGGCTGCCTCCCCTATGACTGAGATGGCGATGCCGAACATCATGCAGCACAACACCAGTCCTGGAAACAGGAAAAAGTAAACTTCAGATCTAACGAAATCGGAAAAAGCAAATAGACGTTCGAATTTTCGAAATCAAGCTTCCCTTTCAAATTTACCTAACAGGGCCTAGATTTTCGAAGCTCTCTTAGCGCTAAGATTGTCGTAAGGGCCATACATTAACATTAACTTACGACTATCTTAGCGCTAAGAGAGCTTCGATAATCTAGGCTCTGGACTCGTTATAACTGATATACTGCTCAACGGCGTTAAAACTCACTCATTCTAAACATTCCTTTCTCAAATGATTTCCTCTATTGACAAAGAATGCTTTGTAGAGTTGAAAATCCCCGTGAAGATTCGACATAGAATTGACCTTCAGTAACCCATGCTTGTCGTAAGCGTGGACTAACGGATTGGATGGTCAGCCTCTCTGACTTGGTTGACACAAGTCATCGTATCCCAGATGCTTAAATCGATGCTCATGCTGTTGATCACTGGGTTGTCTGATTCAGACTCGATTATTTACAGGCCTAATATAGAGGAGTTAAACAACAAACATACAAAAACAAAACAAAATATAACTGAAAATATGATTTTGTTGATCATACCGATACAGACCGGTGTACGTGTATTCCCATACCGAGTGCATTGGGCGAGTTGCTAGCTCCAGGGACGCGGGTTTTCGTGATGGTTGTAATGTTCTCCAGAATGCCAGACACGTTCCGAATCGTTATTTCTTCTTTCATCGCATATTTAGTTTGAGCCTTAAAAAACCCCAAAGTTACCCGATCAATACCGACATTTACGACTGCTTCTCACTGACACTTTGAGTCGAGTGGAGTGACCATATGACACTGAATGAAACATATGTATACCGCAATACAAACTATTCGTTTGTTATCGGAAATACACATTGATGGGATAATGGGAACAATATAAATCACAGAATTGGGTTGTTTCTTATGTGGGGTATTTCTGTGGGCTCTATACCCTGTATCTGTCTCATCGCTTCAAACATTCAAGTTTGGTTTGTACTCCAAAGCATTGCAAACCCCTAATTAAGGTATTTCCATGTCACTTTATCAGAGCATATAACTGTTCGTCAGATGTGTGAGTACCTCCCTTTACATCACTGGCAATGACTCGGTGTGTGATAGTTATAATCACACGTCTATTACTCAAAATAATCCACCAACGGTGGTACATGAGTATAACAAAAGAGTACATACAAAATGTACAACAAGATGACTACATGACACATAAATTAAAGTGTTTACAAACAATCTTAATGAACTTTGATACATTTTAATGGTAGATATTTTACTTGAAAAAAGTTGACGGAACTTTGACAAATTAGGGTTCTTTTAACAATGATTTACGTATGTCAGCAAAATAATTGCATGTATATAAAATTAAATGTGAATCACATAACTTACAAAATCTATGTTCTTTTTGGGTATTCTCCCAGTCTCTATAGGAAGAAACTATGAGATCAGCTCAGAAATATTATCTGAGAGAAGTAGGCATTGTTCAAATATGGGAGAGCGCTTCAGAACTTTATAGTATATTCCTTTAGAAGAATTTTGTATATCGCTCGTCCATGATTGTAAAAATTGTTTTAAAAAAAATAAAATTGATTCAACATTGGAAATGATCCATGTATCGGAGTACAGACGAGGGTTGTCAAAATTATCAGGCGATCTGTACTGACAAAGAATAATTATGTTTAATATGATTTACCCAGACATATATATGTGATGTTTGTTGTTGTTAAGTGATATATTGAAGAATAAAAGCAGCTATTTTGTTATTTTGATGCGAGGCATGTCAAAGTTATAGAGATCTTTACCTGCTGGAAGCAGGCTGTGATGAGATTGCTTGGTGCAATGTTCCTGAAATGTGAATTAGAATGAATCACATGTTGACAGAATGTTTTTGGTTTGAAATACAAAATACTAAACTGTTTAGTTAGCCCACATGCTCGTGATCACCAACGGGGGCGGTTGACATTAGACATGACACTTTCACTGGTGCACGTGAACCTGCTTTGAGACGAACAAGAAAACAACTTGGAATCATTTGATTACGTTGCTGTTGGGAACAGGGTTTGGTAGATAAAATTGTTGATTGGTTGATATTTCCCATACTCTAATGAGTAGTGATTGCTTTCTGTGTGATCCTGATATAATGCATAATAAACATAGCGATTGTGAATAACATCTTGAAAAGATGTATTCAGATATTTTCAGAAACATATACAGTTTTCTGGCATATTTGTGTACATGAGAATAACATGTATGCTTAGTTAAGGCGGCTGTTTACAACATTCAGTTTCGATTTGAAACAAGTTTATGACGAAATGGAATTATACATATACATGATAAATGTGTCATATACATTGTAATTAGAACACTTTAGTTTAGTACCCTCACCTGATCAGGTCGGCAAAGATGTCTTGTGTGGCGATGATGTTTTCGGGGTCAGTCTGAGCAACAACATCCCCTTCGTGGCGCTCATCCCCTCGCCTTGACAGAATCAGTTAATGAGCGAGTCGTTCAGTTACATTAAATCTCAACAGTACCTCTCTCTGAAATGATGCAGCTGCTTTTCTCCAGCCTTAATTGTGACGCTATATTTGTGTTAGTTGTTAGTTGTTATGGATAAAAGCCTGACTTCATTGAGGTAGTGGTGGATATTTGTAAAGCGCCAGTGTCCACCCTCTGATGCATGCTCATGGCGTTAGTCCTAGATATATTTAATCGAATCTTTATCCAACCAAACAGCAAATTAAAGAGTACCACTTTGCGCTGGGGAGAGTACTTCCGTTAAAAACAATGGAATAATGTTTTCCTCAAAACAATACATGATTTATGTCTCTTCTGGTGACAAGCACTTGGCATGTCTAAGCAAGAATAACTTAACCGGCACAAGTTATATTTTTCGACTCTACTGCTTCCCAATTCGCCTTGCAGAGTTGGGTCCTTTAGGCTTGCCAGGATCCTACGGTCGAGGTGTCCAGTCTAACAATGGCCTTGATAATTTTTTATGGTTTGTCATTCCCAGTGGTAAACGTCTGATATCGTCATTCACAAGGACGGTAACATTGGAGTCGGGGTAATAACTGATTTAAAACGACCATACGATATATCAGTAGTTGATACAGTTGGGATGGTATTGAGAATAACTATACTGACTTACGTACTGTGTTTACGGTACAGGCCATTTTATGCTCTTGATGATGCTTAATTAAGGAAACTAAAAATGTCCTGAGGTTTTACCTTGGGAAATATAATGTACGTTGGCCATGTTAGATTTCCTGGGTAAAATGCAACGTATTAAGTTTGAGAACTGACTGAGTATTCGTGACACGGTAACCTTTGTCTACTAACCTGGTTTTATAGCGAAGGCAAGCGCCATAGCGAGGAGACATGGGAAGGTGTTTGTGACCATGATGTAGGTGAGGGCTGCTACACTGACACGTCCGTTACACTTGGGGTCGACCGATGCCGTGCCTACATCACCACAACACAAACAGTGAATATGAATAACAATGGCTTCAGCCAGCGAAAGAAACAGCGTGTCATATTATCCCATGTCACTATAAACAGCGTCGCCTCTTCGGCTTAAACTGATTTAAACTGACTTGACTACCCACTGGTCTTATATACCACCTACCTTCACAACCCTAGAAAATCAACCCACCCCCACCCCCACCCCCACAAAACAAAAACAAAGCACACAAAAACACAACAAAAACAAAACAAACACACAAATAACAAACAAAGAAACAAACAAAAAAAACCGAAAAAACCCCCCAAACAAACAAAAATAAATACAATCCAAAACCAACCAAACAAAATGAAAGCAAGCCCTAGTGGTACCAAAAAAAAAAAAAAACTGGTTTAGGGAGGTTATGCCAGACAGAGTGCTAGGTGCAGACAATGAGGACACAGGCACATTTGACTGAAGTAGCACCCCTTGACGGAGCTGTACCAAGTTATTCTTCAGCACCGAGTTTCTATGTAAACCTCTATCACATGAGACTGACCAATATGTCAGTTATATCTGCCAAGAAATGGCATACTTCATACGGGCATACTTCCGAATGAATGAAGTCAAGGGAAGAGTTGCAACGAGTTCTTGAAGAACACTACATGTATTTTCTGAGAAGTACACACCAGGAGTTTTCACCCACACATTGGCTAACCAAGGAACAAAGATATAAAGCTTGGCCATAACAGAAAACAGAAAACACCTGGGATGTGCTCACCTGTGATGACGCTGCATATAATTAGGGGCAGGATCATCATCTGCAGCATCCGCATGTACATCTCGCCAGGGAGGCCTGGAACAGTGAGTGAGTGAGTAATTGGGTGGGTGAGTGAGTTGGTGAGTGGATAGTTGAGTGGGTGGGTGAGTGGGTAGGTGAGTGGATGAGTGAGTGAGTGGGTGGGTTAGTTTTTAGTGAATGAGTGAGTGAGTGGGTTTTGAGTGAGTGAGTGGGTTGGTGAGTGAGTATTGAGTGTGTGCGTGAGTGAGTGAGTGGGTGGGTGAGTTGTTTTGAGTGAGAGATGTTTTAGCGTAAGTGAGTGAGTGAGTGGGTTGGTGTGTATACTGTTTACTGTGTTTGTGCATTTCTTGCCGTATGGATGTGGGTGTATGGTGATAGTGGTGGAGAGTTGTGGAGGATGGGGTACGATAGATATGTGCATCACATATTGTACTGTTGTTTGGAGTGGAACCCGTGACTTCGGCATAAGGAACAAACGCTTTAACCTCATCACCCCGACATCCCTTGTAACACAGAGATTGTCTACAGCAGATTCAGACCTGAGACACCTGAACATGTCCACACTACATCCACATCCATCACTGGACATTGTCACAACCTTCATAAAGTCCCGATATACGTGAAAACAAATATAGTCTATCCGCACACGATAGTGTTTAGATATCTACTGCGAGGCGTGTTTCAATAAACAGTATATCTCAACCAGCTGTTTTCGTGTGGTATCACATGCATCCTCGCTCGTACAGGGCAAGCCTCGGGGGACTGCCACGTGTCAGGATAAACCATTAATTAGTGTCATAATAACCAATGGTTGGTTGGTTAGTTGTTTAACGCCGCACGCCCAGACCATCCTGTGATCAACAGCAGGAGCATCGATAACCGCAATTGGGATACTATGATATGTGTCAACGATGTCAGCGAGCCTGACCATCCAATCCCATTAGTCACCACTACGACAAGCATGGGTTGCCGAAGATCAATTCTAACCCTGATCTTCACGGCCCTATTCACCACTGAGACCAGCACGACCTCATTATGTATGAAGACTCTTATTCCGAACTCACGTTAATATGTTGCTTACCACCAAAACCTTGTTTTTTGTCATTCATAATTATAACTATTCCATTTAAGAAATCAGAGTATGATTATTTTTGACCTTTATATATTCTATAATTAATGAAACTCACATGTCAATATATTATCGTCCATGTCTGCGGGCGCTCAAATTGCTCAACACTTCTCCAGGTGTTATTGCCGGTGTATCATATTTGCGATACACAAACACACTAATGAAATGATATCACTTATATCAAATAATTATCTGAAATTACTCTATACCTAAAATGTAATAAAAATGGAAATGAAGATAATGCTAAGACAGAACCGTCCTAATTTATCATACAGATCCAACCTCTGAACTCCTCTTGATTACATACACACAAAAATACTGCAACTGAAAAGTAGTGGGCACACACTGTATGCATGGAGCGTGTATGCAACGTAAATATAGACATAATATAGACATATCGTTATACCTGTGAGTGTATCACACTTTCTGCATTTAGAACCTGTTTGTGTATGTAGTATAGGACTTCATAATCCAGTACCCCAGGTATCTAGTCTCGAGAAACCACTTGTATATTAACATAATCATAATTCACGTACACATGATATCATCCCACAGACGTTAGATGTGGTAACCACCCCGAGACCGTTATCTATGTATAATTCACGTACACATGACATCATACTACAGACGTCAGATGTGGTAACCACCCCGAGACCGTTATCTATGTATAATTCTGTGGCTAAGGGTTCACCTCTCTATCAGCAGGACTGATACTGCTGTATGTACACAGTTCACATGCACAAGGGGAATGGTATTATGAAACACACACTGTTTTCCATCTTGGTGACCTAGGTCAGATTCTTGGGGTTATCTAGAGAAAGAGCTTATTACGGGGTTCCACATGAACAGACACTACAAGGTAAGCAGGTGCAAATGGCGCAACATTTCCACTATCAGATCTCATCTCACAACAGACGCATCTCACCTGCTGGTGAAATCCTTAGTAATGGCAAGACTACTGCAGTAACCTCATCATCAACATTTTAAACGATCAACTCAGTAAACATCAGCCTGTTCAAAATACATCAGAATTATGTTCTTTAAATCCTTATGCTGGAAAATGCTCACATATTACTCCAGCTTTAAAACATGTGCACTGGTCGACACTTCCGACGAGAATACATGACAACATCATCTTTCTAGAATACAAGTGAGAGGATTCAGCACCTCTGTACCTCTATCAGCTCTTGGAGAAATATACACAGATCTTAAAGATCTCTGTTCTCGTAACAAATCTTTCCTGAAAACTACAACAGCCAACCTTTTGCACAGAGACCCTGTCTGTCTCCTACACCGTGGAACCAACTGTCCCAACAATCTGTCTTCCAAGATTGGACTTAAACAGTTCTTTTTCTGAAATGCTACAAATGAATTGGAATGACCTACCTAACCACATCAGAACGTCCGGTGAAGGGTCAACAGGCCGGATTAAGAAGCCCACTAGAAACCCAGCAATCGCTCCCACAGCAGTTAACATCATCAACGACTGGCTTTTCATAAACTTCCATATTGTTGGTAAAAACATTTCTCTACAACAGGCCATTGTTCAGTACGTTGCACAGTCAACAAGTTGCACAAACAGTCAACAGATTGCACAAGCAGTCAACACGTTGCACACACAATCAACAGGTTTCCGCGATCAATACGTAGCGTTGCTTTGCTGGGCGCATGTAGTCTGGTACAATTATTAAGTCCCCAGTCAGGCTGTGAATGGATGGCAATGGAAGATATGAACAGTTTAGCTGGTGCACATCCGTTGGACGCCCGTAGGAGTTCCGGGTTGGCATAGGTCACTGATAACATTACTGGTCGTGGGACGATACTACAGATAATGGATGGGGTCAGGTGACCTGGTTGATGACCCGTTATCGTAGTCAAGGTTGTCGTTATTATGCTCAGTATATCAGTCACTGGATGTTCTGGTTCAAACAAGATCATTAGAAGTCGCCATTATACAGCCAGACCATTGCTAAATGCAGAGTTAACACAAGAAACAAACAAACATGCAATGCATATGAAATGCACAGTACTATATTACACCTGGCAGGACTCCGTGGTGTAGTGGTTAGAGCGTCCGCCCGGAGAGCGGAAGGTCGCGGGTTCGATTCGTTAAAATATGGTACTTGTTGGTCCCTGCTTGGCGCTCGGCATTAATGGGTACAACAAGGATTGGTCGGCTCTGAGTCAGTATAATGTGTCTGAATGGGGTATTCATGCTTCACCGCGGCGTGGTATCTCAGTGAGCTAGCACTATAAAACCAGTTAAGTCTGGGCTAGTACAAGCAGCCGCACATACACATACACACGCATGCACGTCGTCATATGAGCGAAATATTCTCCAGCACGACGTTAAACCCAATTTCACCTCACCTCACACCTGGCAGGAAGTATTAACTGTAGAAATAGCTGTAACCTTAATAATAAATCGACGTAGAAATGAAAGTAAACACCTGGTGTTTTGGGGATTATTTTCAAACAAAAAAAGCAAAACGTAAGAATTGTAATAATGCAAAAAGGCAATGTATATATTTTGTAAACTGTTTTGATAGTGACTTACAAGTCAAAACATTGTGTACAGGGTGCCAAAACACAAAAACAGAGATCGTTTACAGGACTTTGAGTAGGATATCATGCATTTATTGACTCGCACGTGCATGTTTTGCGCCAATAGTATAAGTACAGTCGATTAAGATTTTTTAGCTGTATACCTGCTATACAAGGCAGACCACCGTCAGTCACATGAGGCGTCTTTCAGACTGGTCAGGCATATAAACCAAGGTAAGCAATTAACCTTAGAATATTTATCACAATCAGTATTCTACCCACATACTCACGCACTTACCCATCTACTTACTCGCCTACTTACTTCCAAAACTACAGTGTCAATAGACCAACCAGCAATCAATTCACTCGGTCTCTCATTCACTAACCTACCCACATACTCACTAACTCACTCTCTCAATTACCCAACCAGCAATCAGTTCACTCGGTCTCTCATTCACAAACTTACCCACTCAAACACTCACCCACCCACCTGTGTACAAATAAACACCTAGCGATACATCTGTACAAATAAACACTTAGCGATACATCTGTACAAATAAACACCAAGCGATACATCTGTACAAATAAACACCTAGCGATACATCTGTACAAATAAACACCAAGCGATACATCTGTACAATACAACCAAGCCGCGGTCAGCACTACTCCAGTCAATATGTCAAAGATCTGATTAAGGAAGTAATTGCACATTATCACCATACATTATAAGAATAATTGCAGGACTGCCTCAGCTGATTTGTGTCACGTTATTGGTTTCCTCTGATTAAACTAACAATACATGGGCTATATTGGATCATATCTATCAAAGACGTTATTTACAGTACAACCAGAAATTATTGAGAATTTAAAGATTGTATTTAAAAAAAAAATTCACTCATTACCCACGTATTAAATGTGAATATTAGCAGAACATAACTCCAGATTCAAAGACAGGTGAACAGTTAGTATTTTGTCAAGTCACCATGGGCAGCAATGTAGGCTTCAATGCGGCGGGGCATACTACTGATCAAAGAAGTTAGAAAGGCTATAGCTTGGCCAATCTAATAATGTCATATTTTGCGTGCGAAATCAGGCTTGTGAATGCTTTGAAGGATGTTTTGGGTCGTTGTCCTGCTGGAAAATCCAACAATTTCCATAGAACACGTGAGCAAATGGATGTAAATGTCCCTCGAGAATATCTGTGTACCGCTCACTGTTCATATTCCTTTCAAATACACAGAGGGCGTTGCCCTAACTTAGATATGCCACCCCACACGTTAAATTTCGGACTGTACTTTGGGCGCTGATACAAAGGTTTTTAGTTTGTTTGGTCCAGAATTTCAGTGTATTAGGAAACAGCCACACAGAACTGTCATCTGAGAAAATCACATTGTCCCAGTTAAAATTTCTATGCTGTAAGCACCAGTTCAACCTTCGCTCCTTTTGTTCAGGTTTCATGATCGGTGATGGAATTCCTCGACTTTTCTGCCAACCCATTGCATGCAGCTCAATTTTAATTGTCTCCTTACAGACAGCCACAGTTCCTCTATCAATCATATCCAGCCTTAAGTTTTCTAAACTCCTTCGTTTGTTTTTAGAATCAACAATACCAAGCCGCCTCCTGTCACCGACAGTCAATTTTCTGGGCCTACCTGCGCCTCCCTGGTGCTCAATGCCATATCCATTTGCAATATTTTTCAAAACACGATAAACAGTGGACAAAGGGATGCCTGTTCTACTTGAAATCACTTTAGCTGATCTGATGTCCTTGTTATAATACTCTAAAATCAACTTCCTCTTCTCTAAATCATCCATACTGAGGATCACTGAAAATGTCGTCTGCTAGCAAGTAAACAAAAGGGGATAACTCTTCACAAACTAATGAAAAAGGATTACCGGAGTTGTCTCTCTTGAATGAAACCAAGCACTTGATAGCTGGTCAAGGTTGTTTATACTAGAAATCCAATTAAACATATTCCTAAAATTCTCAATAATTTCTGGTCATACTATATCTCACTGCGTGGCTTGTTTAGAATTGAGCGTCGTATTTCTACAAGTCTTGCAACATTTTCAAATTTATAAACAGCTGCTCAGAAGTTTGTAGATATTCAGCATGTGTAAACATGTGTAAAAAGAGTAAATCTGTAAAGAAAGTACTCAATAGATAGCAAACTGGATCAAACTAAGATACTAAACAGAAGTTAGTTATACATGGACGCGTGGTGTCTGTTACTAAGAAATTAATATTATGAAATGTTTGACTTCTTGATCTGTTTGTCGACAGGCAAGAAGTAGGCACATATGAACAATTAAAACGTTTGAAAATAGACAGTGACATTTCCCCCAGATATACTAATGCTGGTATTTCCTCTGAAGGTCAGTCAGGGATATGGTCATGTTGCACTATTTTGTGCCGGATTAACTACTAAATCGCCATGGGCCAGTGGCCAATTTACAACAGTTCACCAAGCAGTGAATGGGTACCCGATATGGTGAGTGAGTCAGTGAGTTTAGTTTGAAGCAGCTTTTAGAAATATTCTAGCAATATCACGGCGGGTGACACTAGAAATGGGCTTCACACATTGTACCCATGTGGGAAATTGAACCCGGGTCTTCGGCGTGACGAGCAAACGCTTAACCATTAGGCTACCCACCGCCCCGTTAGGATGAAGTAGACCTAACCCTCTGAAGCACATGTACCTCATGTTTCTATGGCCAACTGCTGTTTACTCAGCAATGATAAGGTGGAACCTTCTAGCGCCTCACTTGATTAGAGATGAGAATGAAACACTGAGTGTATACTGAGTCCATTTACCGTAGTAATAATAATGCAGTGCTTCTAGGGTTTTCACGTTAAAAGCTGACTCTGATTTTGTACCCCTTCGTCAATTATATTATTGCAGTTGGTGGTAATTCCTACATTATTTGTATTTTCACATTTAACTGCACCACGTATTATAACATGATTAAACTTCTTCTATTTTCCCGGTGCTACACACGCAATATGATCATTGTTGTCAACATCATGACCAGCTTTCAAGGTCAATCAAATAAATGGCAACACAGATTCGTTTATACAGCTAATCGTTTCAGTCAGGGTTTCACAAACAAAGACCTGGACAAGCCATCAAAAGAATTTATGGTAGGCATTTTGCTTGACTATTCAGTCCCATCCATCGTCTGGCTGTCTTACATAAGACCGCCTCCGTGGTGTAGTTTAGAGCGTCCGCCCGGAGAGCGGAAGGTCGCGGGTCCGATCTCCGACCGCGTCATACCAAAAGACGTTAAGATATGGTACTTGTTGGTCCCTGCCTGGCGCTTGGCATTAATGGGTACAAGGACTGGTCGGCTCGGAGTCAGTATAATGTGTCTAAGTGGGGTATTCATGCTTCACTGCGGCATGATATCTCAGTGGGCTAGCACTATTAAACCAGTTAAGTCTGGGCTAGTACAAGCAGCCGCACATACACATACACACGCATGCACGTCGTCAAATGAGCGAAATACTCTTAAGCACGACGTTAAACCCAAATACACCTCACCTCACACCTGTCTTACATAAACAGTGTGTAGTTGTTTCCCCTGACGCGGCGTCACGTGACATAGGCATTGTATATCAGCGTCATTATATGATTAGTGAACTTGGTGTGAGTGAGTGAGTGAGTGACCTGTCAAATAACGCCACTCACCATGGTGACCACATATTTGTCAAACGTTCCCGTGTTCAGATTACATTCAACTGACTCGCCTTTGAATATGTTTTTGATGGAGAGGGACTATTTGGTATGTTCACTATTTGAAAGTGATTCTTCAGCAACCGCTCAGGGTATACATGTAGTTGGAATAGTACAATGGACTCTCGTGGAGATTTCTTGTGAGTATGGAATTGGCTTGTCGATACTATATCGATCTTCCTTTTCGTCTTATCTCACATTATACATTAATTGGTCATCAGCCCTGGAACATCGGATATAAACCGTTCACAGTAATGTGAACAGTCATCGTATTGGGATGTGTGATGGTGAACATGAAATTCATGGTGAAATTTGAAATGTGTTGTGATTTGATAACTAAATTCTCTTACACAATAGTATCTTAATGTATCAGTGCAACATACCGATCCACATCAGAGCGTCATCAGAAGGCTCCAGCGCTCGTATTCCATATCCAAGACCAAATCCAGCTACCACGCCAACCAATATAAAGGCCATTAACAGATGAGCCTTGAGGTTGCCCTTGAAACAGGATACTGTAGTAGCCCCTTCCTTGGTAGTCCCCACAGTGCTCAACATAACACCTCTGCTATCCTTGGTAGTGTCTTCGGTGCTCCCCATACCAACACTGCTATCCTTGGTAGTCTCTTCGGTGCTCCCCATACCAACACTGCTATCCTTGGTAGTGTCTTCGGTGCTCCCCATACCAACACTGCTATCCTTGGTAGTCTCTTCGGTGCTCCCCTACCAACACTGCTATCCTTGGTAGTGTCTTCGGTGCTCCCAACAACACCTCTGCTATCCTTGGTAGTCTCTTCGGTGCTCCCAACAACACCTCTGCTATCCTTGGTAGTCTCTTCGGTGCTCCCCATACCAACACTGCTATCCTTGGTAGTCTCTTCGGTGCTCCCAACAACACCTCTGCTATCCTTGGTAGTCTCTTCGGTGCTCCCCATACCAACACTGCTATCCTTGGTAGTCTCTTCGGTGCTCCCAATATTTCCACTGCTATCCTTGGTCATCTCCACAGTGCTCCCAGTAACATCCCGCTCTGTCTCTGTAGCTGTCATCATCTGTGCCGTCTGTCTGCTGTATGTGATGTCACACTGCTCTGGCTCAGCCCTGTCTCTCTGCCTTTATGGCTTTCCTTATGCTTAATCCGTGACCCCGGGAACCGGACACTGTTTACTTACCCCATTACACATGCAAACATGTGTAGCGCAGCCAGTGGTGTTGTATATCTCTGCATGTTTGATCAGTATGATAGCTCGGATCAAGAATAACACATGCATCTGGTTCAGACCCGTAACACACACTACTATCACAGAAAAAACAATGCATGACATGGATTTACAACTTCTCTATTATTTACAGCACGACGTTTCTGGGCTGCTTCTTGTCCCTTCAGCAGTGAGAACAGGCAAGAAGTAGTCCAGAAACGCCGTGTTCTAAATAATATAGAAGTTGTAAATCCATGCCATGCATTGTTATGTTACCTCCAACTTCTCAGACATACAACACCCAACTGCTAATGATTTTTTCGCAATGTATATCGCAGAATTTAACTTTGGGGTTTCTCTTCATGTGGCAGAGATACCCAAAGTGGGAAGATACTTATTTTCAAGCTTCTGTATCTGTCGAAGGTTGCAGGTTGCGCATATACAGGGCCATGAACATTGCAAGGTGCGTGTATATAGAGGAATGAGAATATATCAACAATTGCAAGGTGTGTGTATATAGAGGAATGAGAATATATCAACAATTGCAAGGTGCGTGTATATAGAGGAATGAGAATATATCAACAATTACAAGGTGTGTGTGTATAGAAGCATGAGAATATATCAACAATTGCAAGGTGAGTGTATATAGAGGAATGAGAATATATCAACAATTGCAAGGTGAGTGTATATATAGGAAATGAGAATATATCAACAATTGCAAGGTGCGTGTATATAAACATGATAATGGTTGCGGTGTATATAGAAGCATGAGAATATATCAACAATTGCAAGGTGCGTGTATATGTATATAGAGCGAATAGAAGCATGAGAATATATCAACAATTGCAAGGTGCGTGTATATAGAGGGATACACGGTGCGTGTATATAGAAACATGATAATATATCAACAATTGCAAGGTGCGTGTATATAGAAGCATGAGAATATATCAACAATTGCAAGGTGAGTGTATATAGAAGCATGAGAATATATCAACAATTGCAAGGTGCGTGTATATAGAAGCATGAGAATATATCAACAATTGCAAGGTGCGTGAGTGTATAAATATCAACAATTGCAAGGTGCGTGTATATAGAAACATGAGAATATATCAACAATTGCAAGGTGCGTGTATATAGAAGCATGAGAATATATCAACAATTGCAAGGTGCGTGTATATAGAGGGATACACGGTGCGTGTATATAGAAGCATGAGAATATATCAACAATTGCAAGAAGTGTATATAGAACCATGAGAATATATCAACAATTGCAAGGTGCGTGTATATAGAAGCATGAGAATATATCAACAATTGCAAGGTGCGTGTATATAGAGGGATACACGGTGCGTGTATATAGAAACATGAGAATATATCAACAATTGCAAGGTGCGTGTGTATAGAAGCATGAGAATATATCAACAATTGCAAGGTGCGTGTATATAGAGGAATGAGAATATATCAACAATTGCAAGGTGCGTGTGTATAGAAGCATGAGAATATATCAACAATTGCAAGGTGCGTGTATATAGAGGGATACAGGGTGAGAATAGAAGCATGAGAATATATCAGCAAAGATGCGTGTATATAGAAGCATGAGAATATATCAACAATTGCAAGGTGCGTGTATATAGAAGCATGAGAATATATCAACAATTGCAAGGTGCGTGTATATAGAGAGAATATCAACAATTGCAAGCGTGTATATAGAAGCATGAGAGGATATATCAACAATTGCAAGGTGCGAGTGCATAGAGGCGTGAATATAGAGGAATTGCAAGGTGCGTATATATATAAGCATGAGAATATATCAACAATTGCAAGGTGCGTGTATATAGAGGACACACGGTGTGCGTGTATATAGAAGATGAGAATATATCAACAATTGCAAGGTGCGTGTATATAGAAGCATGAGAATATATCAACAATTGCAAGGTGCGTGTATATAGAAGCATGAGAATATATCAACAATTGCAAGGTGAGTGTATATAGAGGAATGAGAATATATCAACAATTGCAAGGTGCGTGTATATAGAGGAATGAGAATATATCAACAATTGCAAGGTGCGTGTATATAGAGGAATGAGAATATATCAACAATTGCAAGGTGCGTGTATATAGAAGCATGAGAATATATCAACAATTGCAAGGTGCGTATATAGAGAAATGGAATACACGGTGCGTGTATATAGAAGCATGATAATATATCAGCAATTGCAAGGTGCGTGTATATAGAAGCATGAGAATATATCAACAATTGCAAGGTGAGTGTATATAGAAGCATGAGAATATATCAACAATTGCAAGATGCCTGTATATAGAAGCATGAGAATATATCAACAATTGCAAGGTGCGTGTATATAGAGGAATGAGAATATATCAACAATTGCAAGGTGAGTGTATATAGAAGAATGAGAATATATCAACAATTGCAAGGTGCGTGTATATAGAGAAATGATACACAATTGGTGCGTGTATATAGAAACATGATAATATATCAGCAATTGCAAGGTGCGTGTATATAGAAGCATGAGAATATATCAACAATTGCAAGGTGCGTGTATATAGAAGCATGAGAATATATCAACAATTGCAAGGTGCGTGTATATAGAGGGATACACGGTGCGTGTATATAGAAACATGATAATATATCAACAATTGCAAGGTGCGTGTGTATAGAAGCATGAGAATATATCAACAATTGCAAGGTGCGTGTATATAGAGGAATGAGAATATATCAGCAATTGCAAGGTGCGTGTGTATAGAAGCATGAGAATATATCAACAATTGCAAGGTGCGTGTATATAGAGGGATACAGGGTGCGTGTATATAGAAGCATGAGAATATATCAGCAATTGCAAGATGCGTGTATATAGAAGCATGAGAATATATCAACAATTGCAAGGTGAGTGTATATAGAAGCATGAGAATATATCAACAATTGCAAGATGCCTGTATATAGAAGCATGAGAATATATCAACAATTGCAAGGTGCGTGTATATAGAAGCATGAGAATATATCAACAATTGCAAGGTGCGTGTGTATAGAAGCATGAGAATATATCAACAATTGCAAGGTGCGTGTATATAGAGGGATACACGGTGCGTGTATATAGAAGCATGAGAATATATCAACAATTGCAAGGTGCGTGTATATAGAGGATACACGGTGCGTGTATATAGAAGCATGAGAATATATCAACAGTTGCAAGGTGCGTGTATATAGAAGCATGAGAATATATCAACAATTGCAAGGTGAGTGTATATAGAAGCATGAGAATATATCAACAATTACAAGGTGCGTGTATATAGAAGCATGAGAATATATCAGCAATTGCAAGGTGCGTGTATATAGAAGCATGAGAATATATCAACAGTTGCAAGATGCGTGTGTACAGAAGCAAAATAATATATCAACTGCTGCATGCTGTGGATATAGAAGCATGAGAATATATCAACAATTGCAAGGTGCGTGTATATAGAGGGATACACGGTGCGTGTATATAGAAGCATGATAATATATCAACAGTTGCAAGATGCGTTTATATAGAAGCATGAGAATATATCAACAGTTGCAAGGTGCGTGTATATAGAGGGATACACGGTGCGTGTATATAGAAGCATGAGAATATATCAACAGTTGCAAGGTGCGTGTACATGTATATAGAAGCATGAGAATATATCAACAATAGCAAGGTGCGTGTACATAGAAGCATGAGAGTGTATCAACAATTGCATTGTGCGAGTATTTAGAGAAATGAGAAAATACGAATCTACCTCAATAAACCAACATAATGAACTGATGTTGAAAAGGTGAATGCACTCAGTCATTATTTCGCTCCTATATATAACAATGATGGCATCAGTCGCTTCCTCATTTCAATCAAAGTTGTGGAAGTAGGAATATGTGATCTCATAAATTCATATATTAGATATATCCAGCGGGCCTGATGATATATATCCTAGACTGCTAAAACTCCTAGCTCATATTATTACCCTCCCACTGTGTATATTTCTAAGGCTGTCGCTCAAAGAATCAACTATGATGCTTTTTCACGTATATTGAAGAAAGGTGATAAAGCTGCACCCACAAACCACAGACCAGATTAGCTTGGCGTACGTTCTGTAAAAATTACACGAGATATCAGTCATTAAGCACTTATATAACTATTTTGATCTCTGGTATTAATATCAATCTGCCTTCGTACAGGCCACTCTACAACTCAACCCCACCCCCCAAGTTACAACATACAATGACATTGTCTAATGGCACACATGATTACATCATGAACTAGCACAATTAAGGTACAAAGGTTAAGTTATTACAACGGTTAGAAGAGTTAAGTCGGGGGAGACACAATGTATTTGTAAAGGGAAGCTTTTAATCTTTGAAATATTCTAAAGCTGGTGTCCCGCTGGGTTTAGTCTTACGACCCTTATTATTTTTGGTTGTCATCAACGATCTCGCTGATAGGTCGTTCTGGATGATTTACAACATGTGGCAAGTCAGAAGCAGCTGATC